GAATAGAATAGAATAGAATAGAATAGAATAGAATAGAATAGAATAGAATAGAATAGAATAACAAGAGTTGGAAGGGACCTTGGAGGTCTTCTAGTCCAACCCCCTGCTTAGGCAGGAAGTCCTATAGCATTTCAGACAAATGGCTATCCAATCTCTTCTTAAAAATTTCCAGTGTTGGAGAATTTACAACTCTGGAGGCAAGTTGTTCCACTGATTAATTGCTCTCACTGTCAGGAAATTGATTGTATGGAATACTAAGACCGGGTTCCCAAATATTCTGGTTTCTTTAATCATAGTTTACTGAAATGTGTTCATTAAAGCCAAGTCAAAATCAAACACCTTACATCAAGGCTTAAAATCTATTCTATTCTGACTGTAAAGGTGAAGCATTGGCAGCTACAGGCCTCATTCGCTTCAAGTTGTCATTATAGTAAAGGGAGGGGATTACAAATGGGTTAGTTGGAGAAACGAAACTTCCCACGGAGGCTTGTGAAAGTCTGGGAACTTTTCAAGGACATATTAACAGGTGTGAAGAAGGAGACAGATGGTTCCCATAACAAGATAACTGGTTTACATGGTTTATGTTGAGGTTGGGCTGGGAAATTCATTGTCTAATACCATGAACTGGTGCTAGAGAATTTCAGAGTTAGTTTTACTTCCACAATACCATGCTGTATATTCAATAAACCGGTAAGGTTTTCATAAATGAAAATGACCCTGGACTTTTATTTGGATACTCAAGCTGGATGTTGAAAAGAGGTCATATATGTAACAGGGTTTCCGAACCTAAACAAGTTCCAGGTTGACGTGTATGGATTTCAGCTCCCAGAATTCCCCAAGAAGCATTCTTGGAACTTGCTTCGACCGGAAGACTATGGTATTCAGCCACTGAGGTGAATAAGGATACGTATAGTACAGTAAGCACAGATTAACAAATTCTCTTTCCCTGTCCACGATTTCAGGAATGTCATGTTTGTGATAGATATGCACACGTTTGTGTAGGGGGCAAAGGAAATGGATTTGAAGGATAAGAGGACAACCAAGCCAGATGAAAGTTTCCTGACCTTGGGCCAAGAAAGTAATTTGAGAAAACATTTTAGAGAAGCTCTTTCCTGGTTCACACAAAGAGAAAAGGAGGGTGGAAAGCACATTGTGTTGGTTTCTTTTCTGGTCTATCTAAATATAGGCATGTAGTTTGGGGGAAGGGAAAAGAAATCTCAGTTAAGAAAGCAGGAAAATCCAGGACAATTTTATGTGTTTTTCTAGGAATTTTAGGGAGATTCACCCTCACGTTTCTATCACATTTGCACATATTTCTTCTACTATTCTCACAACCGTTTATTAGAAAATTGCAAAAACCAATAAAACTGATTTCCACTATGCCATCATTCTTGTTAACCATGGTTTATTTGAGTCATAATGGTTGCACATCAGAAGTGGTATTCAGCTGGTTCTGAACGGTTCTGGAGAACCGGTAGCAGAAATTTTGAGTAGTTTGGAGAACCGGCAAATCCCACCTCTGACTGGCCCCGCCAACCCCATCTCTTCTCTGCCTCCCGAGTCCCAGCTGATCAGCTGGGTCTCCTTCTGTTGTCCTGCACAGGAGAATGGAGCTGGAAAGCAGGTTAGTGGGGTGGGGAGGGAATGGGATTTTGCAGTAACCTTCCTCTGCCCACCAAGCCACACCCACAGAACCGATAGTAAAAAAAAATTGAATCCCACCACTGTTGCACAGGAATAAGATATTAAGTGATAACTGATAGGTTTACATACTTTTAGTTCACAAGTATATGCTAAATCAAAGCCAAAATACCCAGATTATTGGTGCTGAGCCTAACCCAGCTAACATATAAACACAATGCAGCTCATTCTCTTTCAGTACTTCCGTGGTACTCATAATTTTCTTCCCTAATCTTAGGCTCTAGAGATCTGGCCCACTCAAAATATAGCAAATTTCTCTTATTGTTTTATCCAGAGAAGCAGGCGGCTATCTTAATATAGTTATTTGAAATCAGCACAACTTCAATAGCATAAGCCTACACACATGCCCCATACAGGAGATAAATTTCTCTTTGCCTGGATCGTGATTATAATATTTTGTGAGCTCACCCTACATAAAGCAAGATCACAGTCATAAAAAAAAATGTACTGAAAGTTGTCGAGAATGAGAAATTGGATTTGTTTCTAATTTAGGCAAGATTAAAGGAACTGTATGAACGCACTTGCGATTCAATGGTTGTCAAGAGTGTGTTAGCCACAAAGAGCTTTCATAGAAATGGGGGATGTAATTATGTGGGAGCTCTCATTTCTGTTTCAATGGACAGCTGCCCATCTCAGTCCTAGCCGCACCAACAGTAGAAATACAATGGGAGACCAGGCTTCCTTGCTGACTTAATAGGAAGACACATCCAAGAAAGACAAATCTGGAAAAATAAAAAAGATTCACCCTGACAGCACCATCTTCAATGTTGAAACTCCAAGTCTCCCATCTCAGCAAGATGTCATCAATAAAGCAACATTTCAAAATAATGAAACTGAAACCACATTTCCAGTCTACAGAACTGTGGGACAAAATTGGAAGAGATTAGAAGGTAACTGTGATGTAGAAAAGCAATCTGAAGATTCTCAGAAACCCATCACCCACCCTAGCCAGATCTGTTTATTGCCTAACCATGGTTTGTAGGGAAAAAATAATCTGCTAAAGATTACATGACCCATGAAGATTGAAACCATTGCTAGAAACTAATAGTGTCTGAACTAAGATAACATACTAAGCAGTGCACACTAAATGAATCAGGTCACTGGGTGAAATGATTTTAATTTGTAGCTCTATTTTGGCTTTTTTTTCTCAACAAGCAGATAGATCCAAGTTGCTGGAACAGCTGGATTCACATAGCAGATCAAATTTAATTTAGAGGAGTCAAGAAATCCTTGCAGATCAAATGCATCTACTAAGTTATTCAGATGTACTTTCTGGCCACTTGCCACCACCAAAGAAAGCCCTTTTTGTGTTTGTTTCTTCCTATGTTTACAAATGTATCTTTTTCATCCATGCAATGATAGAAAGTATATTTTTTCTGGCATTTTTATCAGCTCCAAACATTTCTTTTACTAGGCTAAGAAAGGCATAGGTGATATATCCCAATGCTAAATGGAAGAAAGGATAATTGCTAGGAAGCAAGCTAAACTTCTGAAAATGAAAATTTAGAAAATAGGAAAAAAAAGAGAACATATTTTTAAAAATTGGGACAGATAAAACATATTTTTCAAAAGACTAGCTGGGTGACTTTCTGACGTCCTCCAAAGATAAATTATCAAGTTTTGAGACAGGAATTAATAAAGGGACAAGCCAATCTATTTGGTTAACTGCCAAGAGGAATGGAAAACACATTTGGATGAATGCCTCCGTAATATACTAGCAGTTCCCACATCTAGCAACCTCTAGTTTTGTTTTGTTTTTTAACGGCTTTTTTATCCCACTTCTATTATTTTTTTATATCTAACTCAAGGCCCTGAATATGCATAATACATCTTCCTCCTCCTATTTTTTCCACAACAACTCTGTGAGGTGGGTTGGGCTAAGACAGACCTGCCAGCCCAAGGTCACTCAACCAATTTCATGCCTAAAGCGGGACTAGAACTCACAGTCTCCTGGTGATTGGTACAAAATCACCCATCTGGCTTTCATACCTAAGGCAGGATTAGAATTCACCAACTTCTGTTGATTGGCCCAAAGTCACCCAACTGACTTTCAAGCATAAGATGGGACTAGAACACATGGTCTCCTAGTCTTATTGGCCCAAAATCACCCAGTCAATTTTCATGCCTAAGACGGCACTAAAACTCACCGGCTCCTGGTTTCTAACCTGGTGCCTTAATTACTAGGCCAAACAAGCTCTCCGATTGTTGGATGACAATTATCTTGAGCAGAACAGCTCATCGAGGTTGACGATGAGAATGAGAAGCAAAAACTTCTGAAAGTCGATTTGACGCACTGGAGGTAGGAAAAGGGGATGGCTGGCCCAGGACTGTTAGTTTGATCAGGTTGGGGGAAAAGTGATGGGGAAAACAAATTCTTCCCCACCATGTCATTTATTCATTGGAAGCCAACTTCATTTCCCTTCCCCCTCTTCCCCCCATAAATTAAGGAAGATTTCCAAGCCACCCTTTTTGTTTCCTTTGCCCTCCAAGAAAGCCAATTCACGACCCATTCAAGCTCCGAGATGCCTCCAGATTCCAATGCTCTTCCAATGCTTTTCTACACCTGCTTTCATTTTTTTTTTAAATCCACCCTAAGAGAAACAGCAGCCAGAGCCTTTTTTCAGACACAGCCCAGCCTGAGCTGAATATCTAGCTGGAACTCAGCCCCTTGCAGGGGGAAACTGCTTCTCCCCCTCGTCCCCAAGGAACGGGTCCAAGGATTATGAAAGCTCCCAGCATAATAAATCACAGTCCCTGCCACAGAAGAAGCGGCTAGTCCTCTGGCGGCTCTGATCTGGTGATAAGGATGGGGAGGAGGGATGGAGGGATGCTCAGCTGCAACGGAAGGAAAGCCCCGAGGCTCTACGCGCGAGTCAGAGGGCCGGAGAGGCCTCGCAGCCTTCCCACCCCGAAGCTCCGCGGCCAAGTCCGGGCCTCTGGCTGGCCCTCGGGGGTGGGGGGTGGGCTCTGCCCGCCTGGCTCACCTCCTCGGCCTGCTTGCGCAGCGCCTTCTCCCGCTCGTACTGGGTGAGCAGCTGCTCGTTGTCCTCCCGCAGCAGCTCCAGCTCCACCTCGTGCTCCTGGTTGTCGGTCAGCACCGAGTCGAGGTTCTCCAGCACCGTCACCACCAGCGGCATCAGCTCTTTCACCACCTCCTCGTCGTAGCAGCGGATCAGGCGCTCGAACTCGCGGTAGATGCTGTTGGCCAGGCCCGAGACGCGCTCCGACATCACCGAGCCCGAGCAGTAGTCGTCCCCCGGGTAGCCGCCGACGCCGCCATCGTCCAGCTGGATCTCCAACATCTTGGCGGAGGCGCCGCCGATGCGCTTGCCCAGCCACCCCCTCCGCCGCCGCACCTGCTCGGCCGGCCGGCTTGCAGAAGATGGACGGAGGCGGCGGCGGCGGCGGCGGCGGTGCTGATGCTCCTCCGGCCTCGGCTTCGGTCTCCCCCCCGCGTCTCTCCGGCGCTCGCTCGCTCGCTCGCTCGCCCCTGCCCTGCGCTACTGGCCACTCCCGTCGCCCGCCTCTCCCTGGCGCTCCTGCCTTGCGCGCACAGGCGCATCAGAGAGGCCGAGGCGGCGGGCGGGCAGGCGCCGGCTCCTCCCGGAGGGGAGGCTGATGGGGGTCTCTGGGGAGCCCCCTTCCCCGCGCAGGGATAGGCGGGCTTTCATTCATGAAAGATGATGATGATGATGATGATTAATAATAATAATAATAATAATAATAATAATAATAATAATAATAATA